TTCTCCATAGGATCACCAAAAATTGGTGCAATAATAAACGAGCGTCTCTAAAACGCACTGATGTCTTCACAACGTTTTAAATAGAATCTTTCCAAATACATTTCTTCACATTAAAATTGTAAGCTTACATTACAAAGCTTCTGCACGACAATGAGTCATTAACACGTGCTTGCATGGCGAGTTTAATCTTTTCGTGAACTAAAAATGCTCTTTTCTCTCAGGGGCTCTCTACACGTATTTCCTTGACACTTGACACGGTTACGTCTGGGAAATACAACAACACAAATATACGTTTTGTTTTAGTAAGGTTTTACGCGCTCGCAACTGCATAAGGTCATACGAGCTCACACAAATATACGTTTTTAGAAACAACTCCAACTTACGTTAGTCGTCGGGAGACTTCGGACAGTGTACGAAGTCACCCCATCCCCTGTACGATGTCTCCCTACATGGGGAGAGTGTAAAAAACGTGCTCATGAAACAGACATCATGAAAGCCAGGTTTAAGTTTATGAATTTTATCACCCTGAAGTACTGATGCCTCCCAAAGTCCAACCCCTCGTCCATCGGGGGTGGAAACGGACAAAGAAGGGGATTGCTAGGTTTGAAAGATGTATAACCTTGGATTTACTCACATGTCCGCTATGGTAGCAATAAATAGGCCTACCATCCCAGGTCAACCTGAAACGTCCGGCTAACGAGCCCTGGTGAAACCAAGACAGGCCTAGCAAGCCGGTGGCGGATTATTTATGCCTAAAAAAATCATAGGAGAAAGAAACGGACGGACCAAAACGGAAAACGACAAGGAAACGAAAAAGACAACGAGAAAGAACGAGTAGGCCTACTTGGAATGTTTGTGGGATCAAAGACAAAGAGCCAGAAGTTATTGACGTCATGAAGAGATGTAGAATATCGGTGATGGGAATTTCAGACTGCAGACGGAAGGGAACTGGAATCAGATCCATGAGGACTACGTCTTGATTTGGAGTTGCAGGGATGGGACAACTAGGGCAACACATGGTGTAGATTTTATTCTACACCCGGATACAGCAAAGAATGCGTTGGAAGCAGAGTTCATCTCGGAGAGGATCATCAAAATCCGAGTAAGGGGAGAACAAAATATCTCAAACGTCATCCAAGCTTATGCACCTTGCAATGACTCCTACAGCGAAGAACGGATGAATTCTTTGAGAAGATGGCGGACACCATAAGCACAGTCCCAGACAGGGAAGAACTTATTGTCAAGGGAGATTTCAGTGGAAGAGTGGGCAAAAGAAGAACACCTTGGGACCAGTCCTTTGGCCCACACGGCGACAGTAACACAGAGTGCAACTACAACGGGGAACAGCTATGAGCACTGTGTGCAGAATACAGACTGTGGATCACAAACACCTTTTACCAACAAAGACCCAGTGAGAAACAAACTTAGTGCAGATGGAGCGATCTGAATGTATCATCACCGATAGATTTCATTTTGACACAAATAGAAGAAAGGGGAAGAGTAACGGGCGCGAGAGCCATCCCAAATGCAGCCCTGGAGACTGACCACCATCCAGTTATCTTATTTACAAAGCAGCAGAGTGAAAGGAAGAGGAAAAGGAAGAGGAAAGGAACAGACGGACAGATCAACTTAAGAAAACTCCAGAAGGAAGAAGTACGACAGGAAATGGAGACTGAAGTCACACAGAAGGTGAAAGAATTAGACAGCTCAGAAATGACAGCAGAAGAAACATGGTCAGAGTTCAAGACCACGCTGACAGAGATACTCCGTAAAGCCTGCGGTACAAAGAACACAGGAAGAGAGGGCAGGTAAAGCAGACAGCTTGGTGGAATGACACATCAAAGAAAAGAAGGAGTTGTAAAAGGCTTGGGTAAAATCAAAGCTAGATGAGGACTATGTGAAATACAGACTTGCAAGACGTCATAGTAAGAGAATAGTCAGAAGTTCCAAGGAACTGTCATGGAAGGAGTTGTGCGAAATACATGTATTAAGTGAACTCTGCAAACACTCGCCTCGACAGTTCTACAAAAGTGTCAAAGCAATGAGACTACGAAACGAACCATACAACCCAACAACAGTAGTCAATGACAAAGATGGAAACCCCCTTAGTGAAGAAGACAGCATCAAAAACAGATGGCAGGAGTATTTCAAGGAACTCCTTAACCCAAGCAGCCAAGGGAACACACAGAGCCAATGTCAACCATGATACACAGAAGAAGAAGAACCAAACATCTTACGATCAGAGGCACAGCAGGCACTGAAGAATAGCCCAAGAAACAAAGAAGCAGGTATTTATGGCATTACAACTGAAGCCATCCTGGCATGTGGAGAAACAGCAATCACCACAATATTCCAAAAAGTCTCAGAAGACTGGCAGCGTGCTGTTGTGATACCAATCTGGAAGGAGAAAATCAGCAAGAAAGACTGCAACACCTTCCGTGGAATTTCCCTTCTGAGCAACACAGGCAAGATGTACGCAAAGATCTTGAAACAGCGCACAAGGCACAAGGTGGAATCATTACTGAGTGAGGCGAAGGTGGGCTTCAGAGAAGGGAGAGGGTGCACAGACGCTATCTTCGCTCTTAGACAACTGAGCGAAAGGACAATAGCATACAACAAAGAACTGAATCTTGTGTTTGTAGACCAGGAAAAAGCGTTTGAGAGAAGAGACAGAAACAAACAGTGGCTAACACTTGAAGAGTACAGCATAAGGGAACATCTGTTGCACAACATTAGCGCCATCTATACCAACAGTATGAGCAAAGTTCGCACTCAAAACGGACTCACTGACTTGTTCAATGTGTCATCTGGAGTGAGACATGGGTGTGGACAAAAGAAGCAAACCCCAACCCTATAGACCTGAATGAGATGCTGTTTGCGGACGATCAAAGCTTGGCACATGAGAAAGAAGAGCAACTTCAAGAGCTCACAGACAGGCTGAACACACAATGTGAAAAGCTCAACATGAAGATCAGTAAAAGCAAAACGAAGAAGATGAAAATCAGCAGAACACGTGGCAACCTTAACATCACCATCGACGGAAACCCGCTAAAACAAGTCTGCGAGTTCAAGTGTCTTGGTAGCATCTTTTTGGAAGACGGAATCTCAACAGAGAAATTGAAACGAGAGTACAAAAGGCTAACAGCGTCAGCTACCAGCTTGCCCCACTCCTCAAACATCCTAACATCCCCATTGAGACCAAAGCCAAGCTCATTAACTCTATCTTCATCCCCACATTGACCTACTAGTGCAAGACATGGACCCTGACCAAAAGTCTGGAACATAAGATAACCACCTGCGAGATGAGATGTCTGAGGAGAGCCGTCAACAAAACCAGATGGGACATGGTCAGAAACAACATGATCAGAGAAATGGTGGGAACAAGACCTCCTGTCCTCCACTACATTCGAAGGCAAACAATCTGGTAGTTTGGACATCTCACACGTGTGGCACCTAACCAGCTTGCCAGTAAAGCCTACTACTGGAAAGCATCAGGGTACAAGGCAAGAGGAAGACCAAGAAAGACCTGGAGCCAGAGTGTGAAGGATACCCTGAGAACATTCAATATCCCACCCAGCCAGGCCATCAAACTTCCTGGAGACAAGAAGCTCTTTCTCCCTTTGACGCCCTAGAGGTACAAGAGGACGGATAAATTAAAGTATAAAGTAAGAAGCAGTGATGTGTGGTTTTGTTAAAGGATTGGTGCACTATTGTGACGTGTAAACCTTGCAAACTGAGGTGTGAAAACTTAGATATACCCTTCACGGAAATGCAACATTTCTCTCAGCGAGGTGGCAAAAACACAGCAAGCCTAACCTCAAATGACACACAATGTCAATGTGATCTAGTGACAAATGTGTACTATCAACAGTTTAGCGAAAATTGACCCGTGTCCGAGGCCTCCCCACTCTCCCATAATATGGTTTGTCGGGGGAAGGGGGGGGGGGGGGGTTAGGCCTATGTAGGGGGAGAGGGAGGCATCATTGATTTCTTGAAAATAGTCCTATCTTTGCCCTCGTCTCCGAAGCGGAAAGTCCGGTTCGACTTCGACCATCGGTCCGGACATGGATTTTTTCGTCCCCCCCCCCCTCCCCCTCCCACCCAGCAGTAATGGGTGCCTGATTTCGAGTTTGGAAAGTGAAGGCGGCGTGGAAAGGAACTGGCCACCCTACCACAATATTAATGAAGCCGAAGGCCCAGGATGTCTCACTGACTAGGCAATCCCCAATGTTCGGATCGGATGCGGGAACAATTTTACTTAAACTTTTAGTCCTATCTTGTTATAATTTGCTGCTCGACTTTCTAGTCATACATAATCTTAGCCACTGCAAATTTATTTTTAATACGGCAAAATAAAGCAATTCACATGCCACAGTTATTGTAAATAGTAAATGGCACCAATTATTTGGCCCACTTGTTACCGCGGCCAATCCGGCGGTATTTGACGCCACACTTGATGTGTCATATCACCAGTAGACCGGGGTCGATTTGGCGGGACTGCTGTACCACAGTAGACCTTCAACTTCAACTAAACCAACCCTCCCCCCCCCCCCCAGCTGATTTACCTTGTTTATCTGTTGTTGCTAATATTATGTCGAGGGGACATACGACAGTAACAATTTCATAATTGAGAAGAAATTCTTCGAACAACAGAGACCAAGATCTTATGTACACGTCGCTTTTAAGAGTTGCTACATTTTCAACTGTTTACGCTGCTAGACACTGTCTCGAAACTTTAGCTGGAAATAAATACCGAGACATAAACACACTTGTTAAAATCATCTATCTGAGTTTGTTTTTATCTTGTAATGAGCGAACACAAGTAATTTTTTTCGAAGTGTAAAAACGATCAGAATTAAATTAATCTAGATGTGTCGTAGTTTATTGACGAAAATTAGCTGGTTAGTTAAATGTTTAAAAAGTCATATTTTATTTTGTGCTTATCGGTATTTGCTTCTCGCCTTGCCTTGTGTGAATTTTTAGGAAGCAAAAGCGAGAGTGAATGACTGAACGAGACCGCTTTCTATACGTACTCAACTCTGTACTGTAGGGCCTAGATCTAGATCTAACTGTTGTCGTCGGTGTGCTGAAGAAGAAATTCTGAAATGGCACGCTTATTTCTGTTGTTTTGTGTATGCCTTTGCATTCTTACATGTTATTCGAAGGGTAAACAGGAGAAAGAAAAAGAGGACGAATCGCAAAAATGGAAAAAGAAGGACATTCGAGATTACAACGATGCAGACCTGGAACGTTTATTCGAACAGTGGGAGGTAGGACTAGATCTAGATCTAAAAGTCTTGATAGATCTAATCTAGATCTAGATTTAGATCTAAATATCTAGATTAGATCTGGAAAATCTAGACTAGGACCTAGAAATCTAAGTCAGAGGCGAAAGACATCTATGATGAGCTATCATCTAGATTCTATGTTGCAATTTGTTGTGTGTACGCTTCTTTCTTTACTTTAGTATGGCTCATTCAGGTCCTATCTTCTTGAGAGGTTTTAAAAGTGTTGGGCCACTTTTATTCTCACAATAACCCATCCATATACAGTCAAACCTGTGTAAGACGGCCACCCATTGTAAAGGAGAAAAGTGGCTGTATAAGACATAAGACAGGTGGCCGTCTTAGACAGAGGACTGATCAAGTTAGAGAAAACAAACCATTCCCATCTGAGGTCCTAATCGAAAGTATCTGCATTGTCATTGGCATTGTTGTTTTTTATGGGGATGGTGGTTTTTATTACTCCGTAAAACAAAATGTATCAGACGAGGAAGACGTGCCATGTTAAAACGAACAATGGGTCATCGCCACTCGGAAAACGAGCGACGCTTCTATCACAGGTTCATGTTACCTCCTTTGTTACTGACTGGGTAAACAGTGACCACTGATCTCACTTACGATTTGTGTATGAGTTCTGGGCGGGGCTTTTATGGGTGATCACACGCTTACCTCACCAGAAGCTGAAAATTGGTTGCTATCAATTGGTCAACAGTGGGAGGGGCCTATGCAACATGATCGGTCGGAGGGACTACCTAACAACAACGACAGATGATTGAATTATGGCGGCTTGCCCACAACACCAGGGGCCAATGCACAATTAATGGCAAAACGTAATGGAGTCACTAAGGTGGCCGTCAAAGACAGTTAGTTGCTTAGTGTGATAGGGGTTGTGTGTTAAAATATGGTGGCCGCGGCCGCGTTGGACAGGTGCCTGTTTTACACAGTAAAATTATAGAACAAACGCAAGGGGGGAAATGGAATGTGGCCGTTTGTACAGATGGCCGTCTGAAAAAGGTGGCCGGCAGGGCAGGTTTGACTGTATCTCACTAGATTCTCACCCCTCCCCCCCCCTCTTCCTTTGTGTAAATAACCGAATAACCCCCACCAGGGTGTGGGCGTGGAGCGAGGACTCCCCCCTGACCTCTTGCAGGCTGGAAAATCACTACGCAGTCCTAGGCCCTTGGTGGCTTACCGCATGTGATTGGGAACGAATATACAGTGGAACTCGAATTCAACAAGTTCGCCGGGCCTGACCTAAAATCTTGTTGAATCCGAGTGTAGCTTACGAGGTTTTGTGTAGATAATTACAGGCACTGAGCAAGTTATGTATAAAGAGAAGTCACAAGTAGCGCCTGAAATGCCTGCATATTATGAGCTGTGTAAAAAAAAAAAGACCGATTCGTTCAAATGCACACGCCTGTGTCATCTCGATTGTTAACCAAAAACTTGTGTTGCTGTGAGGAACCTAGCCTACGGCAACTTTTGATTCAATAGATCAGCGCACAATTCATTACTCAGATCTACGTGGGTGGTTGGCAGGTGCTCTGGTGTGGTTTGCTTCTTCTTTCCTATGAAACATCTATCATCCTTATCTCCCCTTCTTCTTTTTTTATGTTTGTTACTTTCTTGTAACACCTCTAATCTTCTGGCACTCATATGACCTTATGCAGTTGCGAGTGCCGTAAAACTTCTACTAAAACTAAACTTACGTAGATCTACGTCAAGACTTGCTTATCATTGCAATAATGATCAGTTGCGGATGGGAAAAAAAGACTGACGCGTTTGTTTCTGCGACGTTCAACGCCCGGAGCAGTAGTGCCCTCCCTCCTCCCCCCCCCGACATGCACACACAGTCACACGTGTGCAGGCCGCCCATTCGACCCCGACACACGCTAGAATAGACACGTGCGCGAGCCAACAACACATGTGTTGGTATGAAAAAAGGCCGCTGATTGGTCGCATGCAATCGACTTTATCTTCGTTCACGTTGCAGGTGCAATGGATGGTTTCCGGGAATAGATAGATTTCGTTGTGGGAGAAAAATGAGCAACGCCACATCTGCGGTGGCTGTTCACCCTGGAAGCGACCTCGTTGATTCCGAGCTCGCTGATTTAAGTTTAAGTGCTCGTTGAATCCGGGTTATTTTTATTGATTTTAAAGAAGAAAAAAAACGGGAATCCGTCTCATATAGTTGAATCCGAGTTCTCGTTGAATCCGAGCTTGTTGAATCAGAGTTCCACTGTAGATATCTATATAATATTTTTAAAAATTTCGCCTCTCCAGTAAAAAAAAGGGGGGCTCACTACCGACTCTACTGAGTCGGTCAGACCATTCGCTGTTTACACACTTGCGATGGCAAGCCTCTCTGCCTGTACACAATACATAAGGAACAGAGAGCGTATGAACGTAACGAGACACGAGCACGAGACTATTAAAATGTATGCTCTTGCATGACGGTTGAAGGGTTGTAAATTATGATCAGACCAAATGGGCGAGGGCGTTAAATCGTGTTAACTAGTTTAATAATTTAATGAAGCAATCCACAAGCTTTTATCTTCACTTTCATTTTTTTCTTCTATTCTTTCTTATTCTTTTTTTGTTTTGTTTGCCTCTTCTGTCCCCTTCTTCTTGAACATTTGGAGTTTGGAGCCGAAAAAAAAGAGCCAGAGAGCCAAATGAAATTCTCCGGGCCAGAAGAGCCAAACTTTTGGGATTTGGCTCCAATTTGACTGCCCTGACTGTGACTAGATCTAGATTTATGTCTATTCAGACACCCACACGATCCTGTGGGGCATCAGCCCCGGTAACCTCAGTCCTTATCCCTCTTGGGGCATTTCCGGTAAAACAAGGGAGGGGGTGAGAATAGCCAGACATAATTTATTCTCACCCGGGGTGAGAATAACCACTTCCTTTGTGTTGGTTTTGAATATATATATATATATATGTATATATATATATATGAGGTGTGAGTGTGGATTGGATTGGGCACTGCTGGGTGAGGTAAATAATTGGACAACGATTTAAATGATCTAGATGTAGATCTCTAGATTCTAAGAGTTAAAAATTAATCTTTGTAGAGTCTAGATCCAGTTTTTAAATATTTATCTGCGAAGATGATTTATCTAGATCTAGGGCAATTTTAACAAAGTCAAAGGCCACCTCTATTCTCACCCTGTGTGCCTTCACCGTGATAGGCCAACCAGTGTTGCGTTCACCGTGAACAAACATTCCAGCACTCTTGTGTTGAAAGCGTGAGTGAGTGCTACTTAGTTTACCCCGTAGCTTCCCCGAAGTCACATGGGGTGTCAGTCACGTGATATGTCCTTTAGGCCTACGTCACAATAACTATTCTTAAGGTGCGTTCTCTCTACATTTCTAATTCTTAAGGTGTGTTCACTCTACATGTCTAATTCTAAAGGTGTGTTCACTCTACATGTCCAAAGGTGCGCTTATACCACTCTTTCACTCCCTGGAATATTTGCTTGTCAATTTTCCCCAGCAAGTTTCTTTTCTTCACCCCTGCTGCCTTTGCCTTTGCATCTGGGCAATGTTGAAAATCTCCTCAACAGCCTGTCCTTTCTTTGATTATTTTTCTGGTAGCTTTTTTTCATTGTTTACTGCCTTGTCTTTTGTGTTGTCCAGTCTTCTTCTTTTCCAGTGTGATTTAGGTGTTATTTTCATGACAGGTAAATAGAGTCTATGCATTTTTCCGCATGTCAAAGACATACCAGCTGTTACCACAGGGCATTTTAGCTAAAATAAATTTTTTTCAGTAGATCTAGATCTCTTTACCGATTTTGGACCTGTTCAACGGCCATTCCGATAAAAGTGCCAAAACTACTGGATTTGTCATGGGCGCTGAGAGTGCTTGTGAAACCCGTAGCCTACATCCCGAAATTCTGTACTTGCCGCATCGTCTTATGCCGCACTGCGCGTTTAAAAAAAAAAAAAAGGAGAGAGAGAGAGAGAGCAACTAGAATCTTACCCCGGCAGTAAGGCCTTTCTGCGCGCACTCGGCCATTGTCCCTCTGTGCGGCTCAGTTGTGAAAATAACAGCTGCTTAAAAAAATTGCATGATATCTTTCTCCTTTTTAAAGCAAAAATTTAACATGCTAATTGTGGTTATAATTTCAATCGAAATTGTCCAAGAAGGCAACCCATTGTGGTGGGAAAAAGTGGATGTCTTACTAGTCGTAGTCAGGTGGACGTTTTTGACAATGTCAATTGTTGATATATTGTAGAGAAAAAATTGCAACGGGGAGGGGGTGATAATTTATTTTGGTGGTTGTCTTAGAAGGCAGGTTTAATTTGTATTATATACTGAATAGCCGCCCGCTGATTTGCTCTTGCAGCTGATCTAGTCTGTTTTTATCTGGTTTTAAATAATTGTCAGCGTTTGTAAAGTATCAATTCGTTTTTCAAATATATAACACTTGAAAGGAAGTTTTAGAGACTGATCAATTCTGTGTCATGATCTATAGGACGGAGATGAAGACGAACTTGAGGAGGACGAGCTCCCAGAATGGAAGAGAGAGCCGCCCAAAGTGGACATATCCAACATTGACCCCAATGACCCAGAAGGTTTCCTCCGAGAGTCTAAGAAAGGCAGGACCCTAATGATGTTTGCCACCGTCTCAGGTAAGAAAATCTTACTTACTCCTCTCTCTCTCTCTCTCTCTCTCTCTCTCTCTCTCTCTCTCTCTCTCTCTCTCTCTCTCTCTCTCTCTCTCTCTCTCTCCCTCCCTCCCTCCCTCCCTCCCTCCCTCCCTCCCTCCCTCCCTCCCTCTCCATAGCTGCCACTCTCTCTCTCTCTCTTTCTCCCTCCCTCCCTCCCTCTCTCTCCATAGCTGTCACTTTTCCGCTAAATAGCAGAACCTCCGCTACCTCCGCTTCCATCTAGCTTTTCCCGCTACTTTCCTCCTTCCTCCACTCACCACCATGCTCGGCCGCGAATTGCGATATTTTTTTGCACGCAGAAAACACCGAACTGGGAGTGAGGCGAAAATGCAGCTTGTGCATGTCCGCCTGTAGCTTCCTACTTCCGTTCCGTGCCTTTAAACATTGTTTATTGTGGAGCAACAGTGTCAATCGAGCATCGGGACGATGGCGCGCCGAGTTGTCATTGAAAACGGCTAAATTCGAGAGAAATTGATGCAGATTGTAAATATAAATGGAGCTTGATTGAGAAAGAAGCAGACGGTGTTCGACTTCAACAGTTCATTAGAAAATTGAACAAGCCGGGTGCTGCATTTTGCGTTTGGTGCGATAAAGAAGTCTCGTACAGTGGCAAAGGTGTTGCCTCTTTAATCCAATACGCTACAAGTCAAAAGGGAAAGAAATTTTTTTATGAGACACTAGCTGGAAACAAACACTGGATTTTTAGTCACCAAACTGGGGCAAAGGCTTGTTAGTCAACTTAATGTCTTGGGTTGTTTTGTTTTTTAATACAGTATGGTTAACAAATAGGACACTTTTCCCTTCCTAAAACATAGATGTTCTAACATATTGCCTCTTGATCTCTCCGGCCTTCGGAGAGCGCACTATATGCCTTTGCGTGAATTTCCTCCTTCTTTGACATTCCTGAGTGGCAGCTATATCTCTCTCTCTCTTTCTCTTTCACTCTCTCTCTCTAAACCCTTTCTGCATTGTGGCATATAAGTAAATGTAAAATTTCATCTTTAATTTAGAAACTAAATAATATATTGTCATATTTTTATCACCATGATGAGGCTGCTAAATACAATGTTAATGAGGGGGTCTGGTGGAGGAGAGGGGGGAGCTGATGTTATTGTTGATTCCAAAGATAGTTAGGTTTCCATCAGCCCCCATCCATCAACAGAAACAGAAGCATATTAAGAAGTACTACGCCAGACAAATTTCATGACCCTAACTCAAACTGAGCTTTCTGGCGTCTTTGTGTTCAGGAAACCCCACAGAGGCAGAGTCGGACAAGGTCAGCAGTCTCTGGCACAGCAGCTTATTCAACGCTCACATAGACACACAGAGGTGAGGATACCATCAAACATGTTCTACCAAGCACCTGTACAAACGAGCACTTTCTCATGTCCCACACACACTTACACGCGTTGCCGTTTTTTCTAATTCAGTAGCACTGTCCAAGAGGACCACCTGTCTGAGATGACCACTTTTCTCCTCAACAATGCGTGGTTGTCTTGGACAAGTTTGAATGTGTGGGTGGTTGGCGGGTGCTCTGGTGTGGTTTGCTTCTTCTTTCCTATCAAACATCTATCGTCTTTATCTCCCCTTCTCTCTTGTAACACCTCTAGTCTTCGGCACTTATTATATGACCTTATTGTGTTGCAAGTGCCGTAAAACATTTACTAAAACAAAAAAAAACTAAAAGTTTGACTGTATACATGATGTGTTTTGAGTTCAACTCCAGATCGTTTTGAACAGAACGTTGTATTCTGACATAAGGTACCTTTGGTAGTTTTGCCTTTTAAGTCCGAACTGAAATTGTATTTTGGCGTAAAGCATCAGTGTGAAATGTTATGTGTCACGAAGTGCTGGAATCAGGCATGGGGATTTATTGGTATCATCTTAAAGCTTGTTCGTTTTTGTCCTGAGTTCGGTGAAAAAAATACCCATCTACCTTGAATAAAAGTCAAGATATTTATGATTGAAGATGGTGGGGGTCACCTGGTTTCAGCAGAAAAATTATCTAGAAAATGGCTGCCAAAGTTGGCAACTTCCATAACTGAAGAGTCCTTGGGAAATGAACTTTCACATTTTTTTTCAATGTTTTTCAATAAAATCCCCCCAGAAGATGTGTTCTAAGTAAACATAACAAAAAATTGTGTAAATTGCCAAACTGGCAGAAAAATTCTGTTTCTTTCTATTTCATTATTTTAACGAGCGCCTGATTTCACCACAATGCCTCACATGGTACTGTTGGTGTCGCGTTCAACGAGGTTACCTGGACTGGCTTGTCGTCCTCGTTGGATCCAACCTCTCATTGAACAGGCCTAAGGCTTAAGAAAAGAAAGGAGACAGATTATTATATTACAGGATGTATCAATAGCAGTAATTAAAACAGTTGTTCCCCGTGATGACGAAAATCTCAAACAGCATCAGTGTGCGCATGTTTAAGCTGTGTTCTGACCGTCATTTCTGCATTTTAAAATATTTTTTTTCCGGAACACTTCTCATGTGGAAACATACCCTCTCTCATCTTGGCCTAGATCTACATAAAGCAAAGGCGGGAGCTTGGATATTCTGATCAGGGGAAGAAAATAAAATTGAAAAAAAATTAAGGTCTTGATCTAGACCTACCCATCCAGAGTTCATCCAGTTTCACACAGCCTGCATGGCGTTCCCACCCACCCCCTCCCGTCCCTACCGTAGGCTAACCGTTGCTCATCCTCTTGGCTTTGGGGCCCATATATTATATTGCGAGGCACACTAGATCTAGCAATACAGTGTGTTAGGAAAGGAGGATGGGCCTTGTGCTTTGCATGAGATGGAGAAAAATTCTTCGCTTTTGGGGCCGCTAATTGCTTTTATTTGGTTATTGTAACTTCAGTCTGTTTGCAACCTCGTTGAAGCTGACGTACATTTACAAAGAGATATAGAGGGAAAAATCGGTGATTAAGGATTAATAACTGGAAGCCAACTTTTCGTTGAATGTGACCTCGTTGAATGCGACACCCACTGTATATCTAGCATCTGCGTTTGTCGCGGTGCAACCCGCGAAAGGCGGCTGCGATTTTTGGCATTTTTTGGTCCGCAAATCGTGGCCGCGATTTTTGCTTTTTTCAAAAAAGACAACACAACAAAGCTACTTCATAACATATTAGACGAATATTTTCATAAGTTTTAAGATGTCTCTGTCTATCTATTTTCCTGGGAAGAATATAAGTACATTATGTACTATTTATATTGCTGTCTGTCTTTTATTTTTCCCTCTTTGTTGTGTTTTAATTTGTTGGTGTGTTAATTTTTATAAAAAATGTTCTGATGATTTGTTTTTCTTTTTTTTTGGTCTTTATACAGCGTAATGTCATTTAATTTGATGCTGTTCCTACCCTTTTAAAAATATAAATGTGTTATGTTAGAGCGTGTCTCCGCCAAAACCGAATACTGACACTGGCATGCCCCAATTGTGTGCGATTCCATAATTTACATGTAATGTAGGTCTACTTTCTCTTGAATTACACACGTTTAGGGTTAAAACAGCCAATCTTGGGATAGGTGGACAAGCGCCCTTATTTGTTAATTTCCATGCTGTTCTAATTTTGGTTTCATTCTATTGTGAAATCTGTATTTTTTCACGTTTTTACCCTGTGGGTGACTACAAATGATAATATTCTGGATGCTTAAAAAGGAGCATAAGAAATTCTGGTGCTTTAGATTATTACCTCTATCAACATTGTATTTTGCTATATTTTGTCGTCACAGAGAGTTGAAAGCTTGAAAATTGATGGCAACTTTTGCTACTTTTTGTGACAACTTTTGGACAAAAAAATGGCAAACGCAGCTCGCGGATACTAGGTATATGTTTCGTCATTTGTGACGCCACAGCACTTGGGGTGTCACAAGACAGCAGTTCCCATTTTGTTCCTGAGGCCAAAATAGGTGCTGGAAGTGATTTTGGTTGAAACTGTTTTATGTTAATTCAACTTTCTTTGACATTTTTCTGTTTAGAACATAAATATTCTAACAAAATTCCTGTCTTTTTGTTTTGTCTTCTCTTCTCTCTTTCTTTCCATTGTAATCTTCTTTTCTTTCCTTTTCTTTTCCAAAATTGTGTACTTTTAACAGTTTTACTTCCCTGCTCACAGATATGTGGTGGGTGACAACCGGGTGCTTTTCATGCTCAAAGACGGGTCCAAAGCATGGGAGGTTCGAGACTTTCTCATCAAACAGGAGCGTTGTGCGGAGGTCACCATCGAGGGTCAGAGTTTCAAAGGAGCCGGAGCTGAGGAGGTAAGTAGTGCTGGAGTGTGGCTTCTTCTTCTTCTTCTTGTTTTAAAAAAAATGTCTTTGTTGTTGTTGTTGTTGCTCTTCTTCTTCTCTTCGTTCTCCTCCTCGTTGTGCACCACTGGTGGAACCTACTTCTTTTGTTTCACTCAGTTTTGTCATTTTGTCTAATGTACTTATTCCCAGCTCTGAGTGGCCCTTGTTGTATCAATTTACTTATCTTTACTTAAATAAATTCTTCTTCTTGTTTGTTTGTATTTGGGTGTGCCTGTATCTGAGTGTGTATATAATGTTTGCACAAGTGTGTGTGTGCATGATCTGTGTAAGCTGGTACTTTAGCACTCACCTTGTTAGAGAATCACACACAAACAGATCCATGGGTGGTTGGCGGATGATCCTTCTTTTCTATCAAACTTCTTTCGTTCTTATCTCTCCTTCTTTTTTTGTGTTTGTTACTCTCTCGTTACACTTCCAATCTCCTGCACTTATATGACCTTATACTATTGTGCTGCAAGTGCGGTAAAAAGCTTTCTAAAGCTAAAACAGAAACTCACTGCATGCAACTTGCTTTTTTGTTTTTATTTTTTAACAGAAAGACGAAAAGAAACAAAAACCTCAAACAGCCAAGAAGCAAAAGAAAGAAGAATTGTGATGATGGTGCAGAGTTATGGATTCAAGACAGCTGAAGCTGCCATTGTGCAGTAGTCTCCACCTTAACGCATGGTACATAAGGGGGGGGGCTCCTGCCTAAGTGTGTGTTTTTATGGAGCATACTTTTTTGTGAATGCGTGCAAAAGGGGCAAGGGACACACAGTCATCTCATTTCCTAGGTAATTTACTCATTACTGTTGCCTCCCTTTGGGGATGGGGATCACTGACTGTCACTGATAAAGGGATAAAAAGTGACTGTTTAATAAAGGTTTCCCCATGCGGGGTTACATTGAATGAAATTTGGAAAAGTAGCAGAAAGACCAACTCACTGTACTGATGTGCACTAATATGTCAGGAACAGATAAAAGGACACTGTTGGGGGAGAGCACTCAGCCATGCGGCTTTCCAGGCGACCACTCCAGACTCCCTGTCATCTGTTACGAACCAGTAAATGCATGGATGACATCAGATGTTCTGAGAGATTTTTCTCTAGCTATTCATTGAACAAGTACTATAAGTTCTCGGAGCCAACTGTTGATCACTTGACTGTGCATTTAGAGGAGGTGTGGGTGATTAGCAAGTGCTCTGGTGTGGTTCGCTCCTTCTTTCCTATCAAACATTTATTTTCCTTTCTCTCCTTTTGTGTATTTGTTACTCTCTGGTAAAACCTCTGATCTTTGGCACTTATATGCCCTAATTGTGGTGTAAAACTCTTACAAAAACAAAAACATCAGAGGAACTGGCAGTGCGTTAGCGTGTCTAATAATTTTAGAAAACCTGTTGAATGATGGAAGCCTGCTTTTGAGCAGAGTGAGCCTTTCTTTGTATGGTGTGCGTTCAGGCGGAGACTACTGTATTGTTGACCTCTGGGCTTTAAGGTGCTTTGCATATTACATTGTCCTGTGTGTATGATGTTTTTATGTTGTCACAGATGGTGGTGGAAATTGTGGGGATTTGTTTTTGTTGGTGTTTGATAATCACAGTGACGATGAAAAGTGAATGAGAGAGAGGTGGAGAGAGCCAGAATTATGACTTGCAAGTTACTAGATATGCATAGCTTCCAACCAGTTCTTTAAAAAAACGTATTTAATATGTTTTTGGGGTTCCGAGTACACTAATGTGATTTCATATTGGAAAATAATATATTACAGTATTCTCTGTGTTCTAGTGCTGCTTTTCCCAAACTTGCAGATACTGATGAAAGATGAATTTATTAAGTACCAGTATAAGACTGACTTTGCGATTAATGATGAGGGAAGATCTTTTGCTGTGTGTCTTCTGTTATAGCTTGAGTGAACTGAATGAATGCAGAACAGTGGGAAGGTTTGATGGTGGGTTGCTCGGCCAATGCCCTCCATCTTGACTCACAGCTTGGGTAGAATCTGTTTATTTGGTTTTAAAAAGTCAGCAGCTATGGTTATGATTTATAGATAATACCTCAGTATAAACCAGATGTAATTGACAGAGAGAGATTGAAAGGAAAGACAGTGAGAGAGAGAACCATTTGTGCTGAAAGGGTTTACATTTTATATCATGTGATGATGATGGCACCTGTGGCTAACTAGGCCCCCCCATGTGCATATATCAGAAAATGCTGTTTTCACTGAGTACAAGTGAATTGTAGATATAATTCATTCTGTTACATCATTTTGTGTCGCTTCAGATGTTGCACGTATGACTCGTTGACTGCTGTGTCTTGTCCTTTATTTTGTCTTGACTTTTGTCTTCTGTTGGCAGCGATCTTTTGCCATCTGTTCCTACCGGCTTCTGAGAGTGATGTTTTGCCAATGTATGAAAAGGAACACCCATGAACACATGTTATTTGTCCCTTAAGAATCATCATGCATCATCCTTCAACTTCCTGAATTGTATGATCTTTATTAAAGTAATTTAAATTTGCTGTGCAGCACCGCTAGTTGACTGGCCACACACAGCATACGGCACATGTACCCTCTTGGCAGCTGTGCAGCGATAATCTCCTTTTCTCCTGCCCACGACTCTGCAAGCCAACAATTGACACATGGTGGAAGCCGGAAGACTCTCTCTTCAAGTTTGGGACAGAGGGAAATAACCCATGGTAACATTATCCTCATTTGGTCATAGCAGAATACTTTCCCAAGACATGGAGCAGTCAGTGCTATATATTAACACAAGACTATTAAAACCCCATTATACTGCCTGCCCCACTTCACTGCCAACTTCAGTCTCATCCTCCTAAGGTTGGTGAAATTGCAGGAGTTGACTGTACTTGTGTTGTGATATAGTGTTCTAAGCATGTTTCTACTGACTGTACTTCTGTGGTGGTGATGTTGTGGTGATATGTATGCTTCCCGGGAAGCTGAGAATGTTTCGGAGTGCTCTATGGTCTGCTGGGGTAATAATATAGTGTAAAACGCATAGATCCTGCTGTTGAGCGGGGATATGCGCTATACAAATGCTATCTATTATTATTATTATGTTATTCTAGGGATGTTTCTATTGTGTCTCATGTTCTAAGAGCTATTGAAGTGCATGGAGAGTTCTAGTTGGTCGCCTTTTCTCTGGCTTTGGGTGAGAAAGACCTCTTTCTTCCAACCTTTCCAAGTTTGCCTCAAGCATCAAGAGTCATTGTGAGGTTATGCAAAGCTGTGAGTTGCTGGCCCCAATCACTTACAGGTGTTAAACGCAGGTATGTCAAGTACAATACAGCAGATAAATACAGCACTTTTAGTGACAAACACAGTTAGTGTTGTTCATTGTTGATGAAGGAGAAAAGTGGCTGTCTTAGATAACATAAAAGTAAACATCTTCGACAGTGTCATTGTAACATAGAAAACTAACTACATTGAGGGGAAATGGAAGGTAATTGCCTTGGGCAGGTGGTCATTAGAGCAGGCTCGTCTGTGGATGACTTTTTGTCACGTGAATTGAATTGTTTGTGGTTCAGTGAAGTCACCAAACTGTTGATCATGCTCTAATTTACTCTAAATAACGTTTTGTCAGCCACTGTTGGAAGTTGTTGTTTTCACAAATTTATGTTAATTTATACAAAATGTACCTTTCAACAAGTTGTAGATTCAGAAGAAAATCAAAACAATGTTGATGCCTCGTGTGTTTTATTTTTCACTTTGAAGACACTGACTCTGTACTCGTGTGTTTTCTATTTATAGATGTTTGGAAGGCATAACTTTATTAGAGTGTACTTTTTGTTTTGCTATATTTGTACCGTGAACTTACGTGCATTCCACAGATGGTGTTTGGAATTACACCCAAACAATTACCTTACAGGAATCTGGCTTACACTTTTGCCAGTAGTCTCATTGATCTTTGTTCAGATTTGACGCTCTTATTTTTCCCCAACTAAAACCTGACTTCTTTGGTCTGACAGTTTCAGTGGAATATTTTTCAACTTTACTTAAACGGTTATCAGTTCTGGTTGTTTTGGTTCTGGGTTATCAATTCTGGTTGTTTGAATTCTGGGTTACTTTTGCCTGAAAAAAAAAAAATCCATTTAACTACATTGTTTCATTTTTTATGCACAGATTATGCCCAGAGGTAGCTGAGTGGTGGCATTAAGAAAAGTGGCTCAGTTTTAAAAAATGGAAGCAATCAGTGAGATGTGTAAAATAGAGTTAACTATTCCAGAGTCTTTGATGCTATGAGGAGGCTCTCCAATCTACACTCGGAAGATAAAAGTTTGATTCCCGTCCTGGAAAATATTTCATCCAGAGTATGAGTCTTACTTTTAGATACAGGGTGCAGTCTCACACAGAGCTCGTATTGTCCTGAAAAGCAAGATAAAAGCAGCCCATCTCGTAAATAATCTTAATTTTGTTGTTGTACAGTGGAATCATGTTATAATGAGAGGGAGGGGACCGGAGCAAAATGTCCGTTATAGCAGGATTCTCGCTATAAGGGATCCAGTAATAAATTCAAGGGAAACTGTAAAGTAGGCCTAATCTATGAGTTTGGTGTCTTGTTTATTTCCTTTTGCTATCTCCCCTGATGATGATTTTGTTTCAACATGACCTCTAGGTCTTACTTGATCCAAAATCCAATCAGGTTTCTTTCTCAAGAGCTAGATATAGCCATGTTGACAGACAGGTCGGGGTTGGCGATCAGAAAGAAAGGGCTCTGGGCTAACTCACTCGCTGTGTTTTCCCCCACCCCACCACACCCTGTGGTGTGTTCCGTCAGCTTGCACACATCACTCATTCGCTCCAACCATCAACCATTCTGCTTGTTTGCGCATGCCACACCCTCCCTACTCAGTCGCTCCGGCCTTCATTGTTGACACACATGGGCTCTCCCATTCTTTGTTTCGCTAGATCACCAACAAGTTTCTCAACTGGCGAGGTTTTACATTATCTATTACTGGCCTGTGCACTGAGCACAGCAGCAGCAATATTCCGCTATAACCGACCTGCGTGTTTGTCTGATAGCGCTATATTTTATTTACTAAGGTAAAGAAGAGAAAAAAAATGGGGTTTTAGAATAGTGTCTTTATAACAGACTTCTCGTTTTTTCCGGACTCGTTATAAGTGGACTCCACTGTAAAACTTTTGAATTTCATCTTCGCTTCTGTTTCACACATTTTAAAAAAATGATGCAATCAAAGTACCTGTAGACTAAACTAAAGTCATTTTTATGACTGTCTGAAAATCACTTTGTCAGTTAATTTCATGCTAAGTTTGCTGTACTGTATTTAATTGCACATTAGCTGTATAGTATCAGATAATACTGTAATGTATATTCATATTATAGCGTCATCCCACAAGCACTGTCATTTTTAAAAAATGTTTTGAGAAGATGAAAGTGAATAAGAACGGCCAAATCAGAATCATAACTTGGGTACTTGTTACTTTTCAAACCAAATCTGAAAATATTAATCAAACAGAACAAAACTGTCTTGTAAGATGCCCTTTTATGTGGATGCTTGGATAACAACTTTAACTAAAATAACCCAGAAATTGATTTGGGTGATTATAATTATAGAAGGTAACACAATATAATATGTGCCAAGAGTGTAATGCTTGATACATACTCATATCAACTGCTCAAAGACTGGGTCGTACGTCACTTTTCAGAATGGTGTATGATGGAGTTTTAAGATACAAACACAGTGGATCGGCCTTTCACCCCCTTTCGCCAGCTAAAAAAATGTGAGGAAAGGGAGGCAAATGGGAAGGGACCTGAAGTGACAGAGTGGATTCGCCCTCCTCCCCTCATCCTTTTCTTTTGCTCTCGGAAGCTGATGTTGCTGCACAGACGATGTCAAATTTCATGTTGATAAGGGGTTCATAGAATCAATGAACTCTGAGTAACATTTACTTTTTGCTAATATCATCATAATTTAGAAGATAAAGTTCATAGAAAGGACGATTTAAAAAAAAAAAATCTTACCTGAAAATGAAAGCTGTTGCATTCCGGCTTCTCCATGATAAGATTGGACCTTAGTAAAACAAAAACAACAAATTTTTTTCATTGATGATGCCAGACAACACCTGACAATACCACTATGTACACAGTGGGAACGAGCGAGAAGAATGAAGGCGAATGAAATTTAAGGGCAGACTTTAGTTTACGATCTCTCACTTTTTTGCAGTATGGGGGAGTGAAGCGAAAGGGATGAAAGGTGAACCTACTGTAGCGCGCTACGCATTTGTTGTTGATTAAACACAACATTCGCCAAAAAAAGGAGGAGAGGCGGATACCCCCCCCC